CAGGAATGAGCGAAGGGGGCATATACGGTGGAGAGGGACCTCCTGACAACTGCGTGAGGCCCCCTTCTTGAAGGCACTCAAGCCCAAGTTGTCAACACCCGGCAAAATCAGCAAAGGTTTTCGGGTCTTTCGCGTGCGGTAGGAGGGGACGCGCTGGGCCCGGCTGGGGACCAGAGCCGTCAGGGGCCTCGCGCGCGGCAGGCCGGGCAGGGGTCGCGGGGAGGAGAAGGCTGCAGGCCCCACACTCACGGTGGCCGCTCCCCGCCAGAGTCCGACCACGCTCAGCTGCCCGGCACCACCATACTCCCGGGACCCTTCCCCACCTGTCCCCGCGGACGACACTCGGCGCTTCCGGAAACGTCACATCCGGCGCCCACCCCGCCCCCTCCCTCTGGTCTATCGGTTAATTCTCAAGAATTTAGGGCAAGGGGCGGTGACTGGTAGGCGGGGCTAGAGCTGCCACCTGCGGAAAAACCCACCAATGAGGAGAGAGCGGGGCGGCGGCCACTTTGGTAAAACAAAACCAACGGGGAAGAAAGGGGAAACAAATAGTTAAAGGACCCAATGACCAAGCTAACTTTTATTTTTAGGTTAGCGCAGACACAGTAAATGTCTGCGCTAACCTAAAATGTCTGCACTAACCACCGATGCATTCCACCATGTGAAAGGCTACACAAGTTGTAACACAACATCCCTTAGAAAAGCTTAGAAAGTATGGAATCAGATAAAATCTATTACATAAATCATACATTTATTGGAATTAGACTGGAAACTTTCATGCTTACCCCATGCCTTCATGTCCTTCACATTTGTGAGGTATGTTAAATGATTATGTCAGTCCTAAGAAGCTACCTTGTCCCAGTTCTCTGGAGAAAACTGTATGAGCTTTATCAGAATTGATTGAGTGTTGAACACTATCCCACCAGTCTGTCAATGCCCTATATATACTACTAAGTCATTGGAAAACCAGGAGATGAGTTGTGTTTTTACTTTTATTTTTATTGCTAAATACATATCCTCGGGTCTTCTCTATGTGGAAATTTACTTTCTCTAAATTTCCATTCCCTTATTTTTTTAGAAATTACTCAAGTCTCAGCTCTTGATTTCACCTTAATTTTGTTCATTACCACATTCAGAAACTCAATGTCCAGTTCTGTTTTAAAACTTTGTGGCCAGAGAGGTAGGTCACATTAGACTCATTGGCTGTTAGGGTCCATCCTTGTTAGTGGCAAGGTTTCCAGAGGAAGAGTATTTGGGGAGCAAGCATTCTAATGGTTTCCACTAATAGGACCTAAAAGTAAATTTCATTTTGTAAACTTTAGCACACCACTTTAGCCCCTCATGTTCTTTTTTGAATACTGGTTAAATCATTAATTTTTTTAAGCATATGTTACAACAAAATTTTACCCATAAATTTGAAAAGCATATCTTCTACAACTATTTCCTTTTCAAACTGAAAGCCTTTCAAAGCTTCATTAAGAAAAGACTTCATCAGCTTGTTACTAGAAATTTCTCTCTATGTTTTCATGGATTAACTGATTCTGTTCATGGGGTTACCATCACATAAGAAGCAGGTGCACATTTGTTTTAGTTTAGCAATATTAGTTCTTGGTCATCATAATATTCATTAAATGTTTTAATATTTAGGGCTTCCCTGGTGGCGCAGTGCTTGAGAGTCCGCCTGCCGATGCAGGAGACGCGGGTTCGTGCCCCGTTTCGGGAAGATCCCACATGCCGCGGAGCGGCTGGGCCCGTGAGCCATGGCCATTGAGCCTGCGCGTCCGGAGCCTGTGCTCCGCAAATGGGAGAGGCCACAACAGTGAGAGGCCCGCATAACGCAAGGAAAAAAAAAAAAAAAAAAAATGTTTTAATATTTAAAGCTGTTTCAATTTCTAGTCTGAATTTTGTTAAATATTACCTTTGAATTTGTCCCTGCTTCAATGTATAGTATTCAGCTTTATAAATTTTAAAAAATATTAGTAGACTAAAGAACAAAGTTTAATATTTAAGATTGTCTAGAAATATTATATCAATATACATTTGTTCCTGACCACTATATAATATCAATGAATTTGCTTTCTTTTGACCACTGCAAAATTGTCAAGTACTTTTCTATTTATCTACACATACTATTTCATAAATGGGTGTGCTTAACAAGTACTAAACACTTTAAAACTGAAATAGAAACCCGTTTGCTTTGGAGTCTGATTGTATTACCCAGTAATTGAATTGCTTTGTCCTACTGCTGTCCAGAAGAATACGCACAATTTCTTTAAACTCTAAAAATAGTTGCTATAATAAAAAAGATCTTCTGCCTCATTGTTTTATTAACTTAAAATTTTGAATCTTATGAAAGAACTACTATTTTGATTTTGAGTAGGATTTTCCTGCCAGATAGCCCCTCTATCACACCCACATAAATCCAACATTCAAAGAGGGACTGCTGATCTGAAAACCTGGCTAAACTTACCAGGGTTTCTAAATCAGGGAAAAGAAAGCTCCTTCTGAAAATATCAGTTTGTTTATGTTACTTTCTACACAAAATTGTTGGCCTGAGGTATTAGACAACTGTTTTTTGCCTAGCAAAGGATATAACACTAACTTTTTAATGTCACAATGCCAATAAAATTGTATTGAAAATGAGTGTTTAATCTCTAAGGGTCACTGTGCAAAGCAATGGGGACAAAAATATATGTATGACACATGTGTATATTATGAATGCATGGAAATTATGTTCCTTTTCAGTTGGAGTTGGAATTACCTCATGAAGAAGTTGTTCCTTGAGAAGGCTACAGTAAAACTAGTAACATTGAGGTGATTCTGAGGTTTGGGGCTCCACCTGTAGTTTGTTTTGAAGAATAGTGTCTCCTGTCACCAAGAAAAACATCTAGTTGGGAAAATGAGGTTTTGTTTTGTTTTTTAAAGATATATCATGCAAGCACAATATTTATTTATTTATTTATTGGCTGCCCTGGTTCTTCGTTGTGGTGCGCAGGCTTCTCTAGTTGTGATGCATCGGCTCCAGAGCATGTGGGCTCAGTAGTTGAGGCACGGGTTTAGTTGCCCCACAGCACGTGGGATCTTAGTTCTCCGACCAGGGATCGAACCTGTGTCCCCTGAATTGGAAGGCAGATTCTTTTTTGTTTTTTGGAAGGCAGATTCTTAACCAGTGGACCACCAGGGAAGTCCCAGGAAAATGAGTTTTTTATGTATGCTTGTAAAGGTTTTAAATGTGTGTGTATTATTACAATTAATGCTTAAATTTGTGCATAAACAGTCAATTTTATTTTAGACGTATTTTCTTCCTTTGTTACCTGCTAGTTAGCTGTGAGTTATATGATTTATTCCTAATAGCTGAGAGCCTTTTGTTTTAGGTAAGAGTGCCATTCTCAAGGTTGAAAATTTCAACAAGAGTTAAATGAGAAAAGAAATTTTAGGACTATTTGAGTTGTACAGTTTGGGTTGAGGGATTTTATCATTTTATATTTGGTTTACATATTTATTTACAAAAATATTGCCATATGACCAACCACTATAACTTTGATTGCAAGATAAAGAATTGCATACTGCTATATTTATACTCCTTGAAAAACATTCATTCATTCATTCATTTATTCAATCAACAACTATTTATTGAGTACCTACTTTGTGCCAAACACTGTTCAAGGCACTGGACATATATTAGCCAACAAAGCAGACAAAAAGAAACACAACCCTGCCCTCAAGGATCTTATATTCTAGTGATGGGTGAGGGAATGATGGATTACAAGCAATTATGTGATAAATAAGTAATTACATAGTATATTAGAAGATTCTAAATACCATTGGAGAAGTGGGCTCTGTAAAGGGAATCAGACTGAAGGAAAGGAGGAGTGCAGGGGGCAGTTGTAATTTCAGATAGTGTAGTCAGATAAACCCTCATTGGAACTGAGTAAAGACTTGGAGGTAACAGCAGGCAGGGAACAGCAAGTACAAAGGCCCTGAGCCAGGAGCTCTCTGATGTATTTAAGGACCAGCAAGGGCTGAGCGTGATGGGAGTGGAATGAGTGACAGGCAACATAGCAGTAGATCATGTACATCAGGGCTCAGCAAACTACTTGTCTTTGCAAATGAAGTTTTATTGGAAGACAGCCATGCCCATTCATTTACATATTTTCTATGGCTGCTTTCATGCTACCACTGCAGAGTTGAATAGTTGAGACAAAAACAATCTGGCTCACAGAGACTAACATTTTTACTGTCTGGCTGTTTATTTGTTGACCCCCGATGTAGGTAGGGCCACATAGGCCATTGCAGGGACCTTGGCTTTGACACTGAGAAAAATGAGAAGCCGTGGGAGCGTTCAAGCAGAAGAAGGACAGGATCTGACTAATGTTTTGAAAGGATCATTACAGTGGCTGTGTTGACAAATTTTAGGCAGGCAAGGGTGGGAATAGGAAAGCCAGTCAGGACTGTGGTTCACAAGGTACACTGGGGCGCCCCCCAGGACACCACATAAATTCATCAGCCTGTAGCAGGATATTTAAAATTTTTGAAGGATTCACAGCAATATTTGACATCTGTTAGATACCATGTGAGCTTCTATCTAGTAGGTAGTTCACAGTTTCAACATTAGGTTGTGCTATATTCCTTTCAATGCTGTCATATGATTGTGAACCTGGGATTTTTGGCAGTAGTTGTAACAAAAGTCAAGTACTAATTGAAGATCAGTGTGGAGCAGGAAATGAGTCTGGCAGCATCCAATTTAATTCTAAGGTTTGAGATGTTGTACAGTGCCCAACAGTCCCCCACATTCCATTAGCAAGTAATTGCGGTTATTTCAGAGTGAAATAAAAATATTTTCCTTTTAATTCACATGTATTATTTTTCAAACGTCTACCTAGTTGTTGGAGCATTGTATTATTGTGCAAGTGGAGCATTTTTCCTGTGGCTGCTCTAACAAATCACCACAACTGGTGGCTTTAAAAAACAGAAATTTATTTTTTCACAGTTCTGGAGGCCAGAAGTCTGAAATCAATACCACTGGGACAAAATTAAGGTGTCAGTAGGATTTACACTCGCTTCAGAGTCTCTTGAGGGAGTTTTTGTTCCTTGCTTCTGCCAGCCTCTGGTGGTTGCTGGCATTGCTTGACTGGTGGCTGCAACACTCCAGTCTTTGCTTCCATGATCACTTTGCCTTTCCCTCTTCTATCTCTATCAAATCTCTTTCTGCCTCCATTTTGTAAGACGCATATGATTACATTTAGGGCTCACCCTGATAATCCAGGATAACCTCCCCATCTCAAGATCCTTAATTTGACCACATATGCAAAGATCCTTCTTCTAAATAAGGTAGTAATATTTATAGGTTTGA